GGGTGAAGGATCGCGCATGTAAACTGGTTTAAAACAAAAATACAAATTTATACTCAAATAAATTAGAAATCTGGCATTTGAAGAAAAAGAAAGTTATTTTTCATTAAGACCATGCAAAATGACACAAGTCAGTGAAAACGATGGCAAAAATCCACGAAATGATCTTTGGATTGCTTCCGCATCCACGGTATTCCCAAGATCTGACCTCTATAGACTATTTCCTGTTCTCAAATTTCAAAAGAGTGCTCACTAGGAAGAAAATTTCGTCGCATGAAGAGATGATCCGCAAAACTGAGGCTTGCTTTGAGGCAAAGGACAAATTGTACTACAAAAATGGTATCGAAACGTTTGAGGGACCCTATAATCAGTGTATCACCATGAACGAAACTATGTTGTAAAAAGTCAAGTTAGGAAGACCTAAGTTTGGGTGTAATCGAACATTACATACTCTAGCAACTTGCCAAGATCAAAGCCAAATAAATACCCGAAGGTTTGTAAGTTATTTCTCCGTTTATACCCATTGTAGGCGCAAATATGCATCGTTATTAGAAATCCTTCATTTTATTAAAATAAACCACAGATTTGCCGATAGAAGTTCGAAAATCACATTGACCGATTTCCGATAAAAAAAATTCCCAATCGGAACTTTGATCCATATATTCGGTTCTTAGGCTGCCCAGAGGATACTTGGTAAAAGACCGGGAGTCGTGAGGTGCTCCCAAGTGAATGGCGATTAGAGAACTTTCCTCTCTTGCGTGAACTTCTACACATGACTCCATCCTCCACATATTTACATACTGTCAAACTGAGTTGATTCGGTCGTTTTTAGGTAAGAGATGGAATACCTTGGGGAGGCTATTGGTGCAAAATGTTTCGATACCTACGATTTTCAAAGGAGTCTTATGTAGCCCCTCCAAGCAATCTAGTTTTTGAAATTTAATGTTTCTGTGGTATTTATTTGTTAGCTATTTTTACAAAAGAACGAACTAGAGATATATAAACTTTGTATGTATATAAAATTATAAAAATGGCGAATAACCGAGATACCATGTGCAGCAGGCCAAAGCTTCCAATGCTCAAAGACGATGATGATTGAAAAATAATATTTGTTCGCCTTACGATTTTTATATACGCATACATATATGTACTCGCACATTATTAGGATGACAAAAGGAGTTAAATTCCTAGTGACTGTCTGTCCGTCCGTGTGAGCAAGCGATAACTTGATATATCTCGGTGAAACTGGGTACGCGGGTTCCTTAACATACAAGGTGTTTTTTTTTTATTACAGATGACCAGAATGAGATTATTATCGAATTCAACAAATGTCTTTAAGTGCAAACCAATAAAATGCTAGTATGTCGTTCAATATGTGAGTTGTCTTAAGAAACTCAGGATAACAATAAGTATGTACCTGATAACGATATATCTTCATGCCAAAAATAGATAAAATTACCTAATATATGTAGATATTTTCGGACCTGTGGAACACACTTACTTACATATAATTTAGAACAGCCAAAGTTAAGCAATTAATCCATATCTTCGCCTAGCACCATATACGACATATAATAATTTTCCTTAATTTTGATTTTCAATATACATTTTATATTTGTATTTTCGCAATATGTGTGATATTTTAATGAAATTAAGATGACAAGTTTACTTCAAAATGATATGCGCTGATTATGACTGAAATTTATTTAGACCTTGATCTTAGCCTTATATCCCAACTATACTTATATCCCATATTCTGGTCGATATTTTCTTCATATACCACACATCTGAAATTACCTACTTGTTTATATTTTATTTTTTATTGACTATAATTTCTGTAAATTGTTTTATTTGTTAATTTGTATGTGTGTTTGGCCTATTTGACGTTGAGAAACACCAAAAGCTCCGTCAGAATGGGGAATGACTTATCCGAGCCGTTCGATACGAAGCGAGGTGTCAGACAAGGCGATTCCCTGTCGTGCGACTTCTTCAACCTGCTTCTGGAGAAAATAGTTCGAGCTGCAGAACTAAATAGAGAAGGTACCATCTTCTATAAGAGTATACAGTAGCTGGCGTATGCCGATGATATTGATATCATCGGCCTCAACACCCGCGCCGTTAGTTCTGCTTTCTCCAGACTGGACAAGGAAGCAACACAAATGGGTCTGGCAGTGAACGGGGGCAAGACTATATATCTCCTGTCATCAAACAAACTGTCGTAGCACTAGCGACTTATCACTTACGTCACTGTTGGCGGTCATTACTTTGAAGTCGTAGATAATTTCGTCTATCTTGGGACCAGCGTAAACACCACCAACAATGTCAGCCTAGAAATTCAACGCAGGAAACTCTTGCCAACAGGTGCTACTTCGGACTGAGTAAGCAATTGAGAAGCAAAGCCTCTCACGATAAACAAAAACCAAACTCTATAGGTCACTCATAATTCCCGTCCTGCAATATGGTGCAGAGGCTTGGACGATGTCAACAACTGATGAGTCGACATTGCGAGTTTTCGAGAGAAAAGTTCTGCGAAAGATTTATGGTCCTTTACGCGTTAGGTACAGCGAATATCGCATTCGATGGCACGAAGAGCTGTATGAGTTATACGACAACATTGACATAGTTCAGCGAATTAAAAGACAGCGGCTACGCTGGCTAGGTCATGTTGTCCGAATGGGCGAAAACACTCCAGCTCTGAAAGTATTTGACGCTGTACCCGCCGAGGGAAGCTGAAGAAGAGGAAGGCCTCCACTCCGTTGGAAGGGCCAGGTGGAGAAGGACCTGGCTACGCTTAGAATATCCATATCTAATATTAGATTTTTATTATAAGATATTAATAAAATATCCGGTTGGCTTCATACCGAATACATCGCTCAATATGCAATAAATTTGACCTACTCTAGTTTAACACAATAAATATTTGATATTGGAATACGAATTACCCAAATCCCCATATACTACCTTAAACTATGTGTTATTCTAACAAACCCTATGTTAAATATGTCAGTCAGTGAATGAGTTATATATTTACAAAATTGTCCGAAATTATGTTCTTGAAATCAGCCCAAATCTATATTGCTCCAATATACCCTATGTTATGATTTCCGACATTCAACCTGGTTTTAAACCATTTTGGTTGGTCATAATGTATGATATCTTAATTAATTTAAGTGGGAAAGCTTTCTTAAATATTCTGTGAATGGAATGAATTATACCTTGGTCTTAACCTCAGATCCTTAATGTAATCAATTCCTATCCCCTGGTTGACATTTGGCACATTCTCAATAGGCTTGTTTTATTTGACCAGCAAATTAGGCTATTAGCTTATTTTGTGTGGAAGACTTAGCCTTAGGTTTTTCCTTTTTCCCAAAAAAAAAAAGTTGTTGGCAAAGCGGGAAACCATACTTTGACAGATGAAAATGTAAACAAACCCAAATTACATATTTTTGGATGAGTATTGAGTTAAAGTTAAGACAAATTTGAATTGAATAAATATATTTGTATATTATATTATATTCAGGTTTACAAATTTTAAAGTTTAGACTAACTAGTATATCAGCTGATTGTTCTTGTCCGCATTACACACCCAATTAAATCTTCAGCGAATATATGCAATAAGCTAAGTACGTGTTATTTGTCCATGATTTAGCTATTAGCTTGTGATTGCCAAATAAAACACAGCTAATATTATTACATTTAGTTATTTCAATTCATTTTATATCTTCTTATTTGAAGATGATTTCAATTAGCTGACGTTACACCACTCAGTTTTAGGTGAAATCACATATCTCGGGACCCATCCGACCGATTTCGAATAAATGAAGTACGTTACATTCTGGTCATATTTCTATGTCACAGTGCGAAAATGAGCGAAATCTGACTACAACTGCGCCTACTTCCCAAGACAATAAAATTTTTTTCAGGGTACGTGAATAAAACGAATTCTCGCATTTATAGTGATCATTCTCGATAAGTCATTGCTGAAACGCCTTTACATCCTCAGAAAGTCACTGTTTGGCAGAGGGAATCATTGGGACATATTTCTACAAAAATGAACAGTGACAGTGAATGACCAAGTGCTTAGCGAGCTCTTACACAGTTTGTTCACAGTGAAGAGAGTGAAATATATTTATAACATTAGCATTGCTGTTATCTTTTGAGTACTTATTCCTATATATGTGTATATGTATGTACACATATCAAAATGGATGAAAATGTATTAAGTCGGACTCATTTCTGTTGACATTTACATTGTTTACTTGCTGTGAGAAACAAAAATATTAGGGTTTAAAGAGAATAAAACATTTTCTATAATTTTCTCTTAATAGATAAGTGTACGTACCGGAATTGAAACGCTCCCAAAGTTCCGATACAATTGTGATTCTCTCTTTTGAATTTTCATATTACTTCGGGGTGCATCCAACTTCCTCAAAAATGCACTCGTGCGCAGAGTAAAATCAACGGAAGCTGAAGCAGAGAACGTGAAAAAAATGTTTTATGTTCTCTGGCTGTAGTATATATGCAACTTTCTAGCTCAAGCAAAAGTATAACTTTAATAGAAGTAAAGTTAACTATAATTATAATGGAAGTAAATGAGCAGCCAGTGAACAAGCATACATATGTGAATTTGAGGATGCACCAGTGTATGAGGAGATTTGAGTGAGAGAATTTATCAACAATTTGCGCAAAGCACCTGAATGGCTGACAAACGGCGCTGTGAAACAAACAGACCATGCAGACGGCAAGTTGAACTCTGTGGGTGTCACTGTTTGTTGTAATATTGATGTTGTGGAGCTGCGGCCGCCGAATGTGCCGAATGTGAAAGTGTAAATGTGATGCGGCTGGAATTGTTGTCGCAAAGCGAGGGGTGAATTTAGTGCATCGACAACACGGAATTGGAACATTGAAGAGCAGCAGTAATATAATTGTGAACTGGCACAGAGGTGACCTAATACAGGTACCTCTAACAGCAAATTATTCAGTAACAAGTTACGCATTGAATGGTTAGTGCCGGAAACGGGTTCTCGGTTCTCGCGCTGCGTTATTCGCTGCGGTTTTTTTGCGCGAGTAGCTAACAAATAAGCCAGCCAAACTGAAAGAAAACAAAAGAAAAGGGTATTCCCAAAAAATTCGAAACCTTAAAAAATAACAATAATAATAACGACACTGTAAAAGATGAGAAACGTAAATGTCAAATAAGTTTGCTAACTATAACATCTCTAAAGCCGGTCGCAACATTAGTAGCCGTAGTTAGCGGAGTTAGCGGGTCAATGACTGTTAGAAATTGAAAATTAATTACGCTGAGTACAACGGTTTGGCGGCCGCGTCGTGGGCGGTATAAAGTTGCATCGGCACCTATTCAAATAATCAAATGTTTGTATGTATACATGGACGTATACTGCATATGAATGGGTATGTTTATGTGTATGCTAACGTGTTTGCATGAATATATGAAAATATTGATTGATGCGAACTAAAATGCACCGAAATAATGCTAGTTGTGGGAGTTGTTTCTGCTTTCTTATCACTTGACTAGTCAGTCAAAAGTTAAAACCTGCAAAAAGCTCCAATGCAGATATGTATGTACATATATACACGTGTGTATATATAAATATATCTGAACATAGTCAGTAAAATTTTGTGTGTGTGCGGCAAATTGATTTTGAACCGGCCATTTATAAAAAAAAGTAAAATATTTTCAAATATTTATATATACACATGCATACATACATATGTATATGCATTGATATGAATTTGTGCATTGGGAGGCCGAATTGAAATATGCAAATTAAAATAGTAATGAGAATGTGGTTTAATTCAAAAACTTCTCCGTCATAAGGGCATCAATTTTTATATATGTATGTGTATTTAAAATAGCACCCAGTGTATACACATGCAACCGCATGCTTCAAAAGGATTTGCATAGCGCTTCAAATGCCTTAAGTTTCAGAGAATAAACTCGGCAAAGTCCAGGCATTTGTTTGTTCGTACGCAATAGCCGGTATTTGTTTTTTAGCAGCGGCAAGTTTTCGCGCCTATTCGACCGTGTGCCTAACGTTTTGTTGCATTGTGTGTTTCTAAGTTTTTTGTACGTGAAAATACCTTCCGTCATATGCACACGAATTGTATGCGTTTTATGTATCGTGTCGTGTAGTGTCGTGTTTTTGGGTCATCTTGCGGAATTGTGGTGCTCACTTAAGCCGTTTGGCCTAACGAGGATTACCATAAATACATTGATGTACGAAGCATTACTCAGCGGTTGCTGAAGTACAACTACCTGCATTCCTAATTAACTGTGCTCCTTCCGATCACCGTACTAGGAACACCGTTTGCGCTGTCAGTCGTTTCCGAATGCAAACTATCCAACTGGGAGCGCTACCGCAGCTGACACCCCATTCTCCTTGGCGAAAAGGGCTGCATTCACCGTTGCAAAGAGGCACACATACATACACAGATATTTACTCTTACTCTTTCAAAGCCGTCAATAGCAACACAACTGAAAGCATCAGCATAAAAAGACCAAAGGCAAAAAAACAAATTAACTTTTCGGCTTTGCAAGGTAAGTATACGACCTCAATTGTTTACGACGGTCGCATACTAGCAATCCTTGACAAGTATACACAACCAAACTTACGCAAGCCTACATACGTATGTATGTATGTATGTACAACATTCGTACACACAGAATTGAAATTGCATCCAAAAACAAATACTTAGAAAACATTTTTCCCACTAGTAACTGGAACTGCAGCCAATTTAAGCTGTTCACTAATCCATTAATTTCGACTGAATACATTCTTTAATTATACCTTTTAAGTATCGGTGTAAGACATGAGTCCGAGTTTTGGATTAATTCGTTGGATTTAAACTGATTTTCATAACGCAAGCATTGTGATAGCCTGAACAGGGTAGGAAAGCTAACGTCAAAGACCCTACAAAGTATATACATTTATAAATGATAAACGTGACGAGCCGAGTCAATCTACCTGCTCGTTTGGCTGCCCATATGTTTGTCCACGAACTAGTTTTTCATTTTTTGGGATATCGCTCTAAAATTTGGCACTCGTCCTTTTCTCACAAAGAAGCTACTCAACTTTCGGAACCGCCGATGTCGGACAACGATAGTATATATCATACAAATTGACCGAGATAGTTCAAGTCCTTGTTTGGAAAAGCTTTTTTATACCAGGTGCCTTTACGAAATTATCTAAGGCAGCGCATATAGGTGCATTACAAATTGACAAAAAATCAAGATAAAACTCTCTTAATACCCATTTTGTTATGAGATATGCACTGTGATGGGTATTATAGATTCGGTCGAGCCGAAGTTGAGGTTTCCTCCCTTTTTTATTCAAAATTTAACTTCGAACAGCATTACATATCTGCAGAACATTTTTAATAGCTATTAACATTATTTTAAAAATATTACACTGCATCTCCGCGAAGATTTCAATAGATAAATATTTGCTATTGATAGTTTGCTCATAAGCATTCTCTTTAATGTAAGAATTAACTAGTGTCTGGCAATTTCACTTTGATTTTGACTAATGCACAGCATAAGACACATACAGATTCATCTAATATATTAGATTAGAGCGGGTCGATTTTTTTCTATAAAACTATGAATGCGAGAAGGGTTCAAGGCTCATCCTGAACAACTCGGGTTAAGAGAGTATGGGTCTAAAACCGGTTTCCAGCCATTTTTAAAGTGAATTTTTTGTATTGGATATAATTCACCGATCTACGGTTTTCGACAAATAATAAACATATTACCAAATTCCACTCTGTTTTAAATTTCACTCGGTTATCTCTAAAACTGACGAACAAATTTTTATGATCCCAAAACTACTTCCTAACAAAACTTCAACTTACATATTGCTGTCTCGGAAACGATTTTAGACCCATAGTCCCTCAATTAAAGTTGGGCAAAATGATTCGTAGAGCATTTTCCGCAAACGCGATTTGTCTGGTTTTATTGCTCAGTGTAAATCGACCCACTCTAATATACAATTCAAACCAATTGATGCACTTGGCGGTGCTGGGCAAAATATATGTGTGTATAACCAACACTTTCTCCATAAAATACTACATTCAGAGTCTACAGTGTAAGAAACGACTGATTTAGCGGCGATTTAGTACGAATTTTAGAAAAATCGTTGTTATTTTTGTAATTTTGTTTTGTCGATAGGTTGTTCCACAGGTAGGATGGATATTTGACAATATGAACAACTTTCGAGGTATCTGTATATCCCATCCAATAAAACTTCGACCGATAGTTGCGTATATTTTCCTATATAAAGCCTTGCATTCGCATGGATCTATGGTATCTTCTTCTTCTACCTATTAGCACGCTTGCCTACATATCTATAACATGTTTCATGTTAAATATTTATAAATACCCAGAGGGTTACATATATGTATATATATTCCCTCTCTGTCGAAGTCTAATTTTAGGGTGGTGTATGCTCTGGATAGATCGTCTGTTTCACTATTGCCAGGAATATCACAGTGTCCTACAATCCATTGCAGGTTTAACGTGAAATAGGCCGTCACATCCACAGGAAGTTCAAGACATTATTTTACTATCTTCGATTAAACACTTCAAGATGTTAGTGATTCAAAGCCTGTAAGCTCTCTGTATATGTACATATATATATATAGTATAAATATATTTCTTGTTGTGAGTACACTTTTTGTCAGTATATGAAGGCTTTTTTAATTGCTGTGATCTCCTAGTCGAAACGCGATTCTGGTATCTAATTTTGCCGAAAAGACACCACCTCCCACTCGATAATCGAGTTTGGACCCATACGTTTAGATACTTACACCTGCGTTCAGTTCACCTCATATCTATCCCACTCACTTTGTATTTGGGAGGTTTTGTCCAATTCTACGGCATTTCCCTACCAATTTTTGTAGATTTAGTTTATTATTTAATATTTGAGAAATATATCATACATATAACATATACATACATATGTATAAAGTTGGTTCACACTTTTTAAAAGCGGAAATTGAAGCTTTAGACAGCATCGTAACGAATGTGGTTCTGCGCGAAATTTTTCAGGTGGCGCTTTGGGTTGCACTTGAGTTGAGGTACATCAATACAAGCTCATCATTCGGACATATCATGTTGGTTGCTTCAAAAAGTTTACGAAATCAATGATTTGTTCTCATTTGTGCTAGTGCACGTGGCAGCTGTACTTGTCGCTCAGCTATGCTGGATTTATTTTCAGCTCATGCATGTGTTGCACACATGTTTGGTAAATGCAGTATTTTGTCAAGCAGCTTAATCTATGAATTGTATAAAGCTTAGGAAAACTGCTTCGAGGGAAAGCCAACGAAAAGTGAAGCTAGAAAAACGCTGTACGCATTCTTAGGTTATATTGAGAAAATAATATCGCAATTAGATACAATTTTAATCAAGGGTTGATGCTGATTCCAAAGTAGATTAGATTAGAAATGTATGGTATTACTCTTGTGATTTATGCTAAAACTTTTAGGCTGAAACCATAAGATATACATATAATATATGGATTAATAAAGTCGGATAATTTCCGAGAGAAATATATTTGTTTTTTTTTTAGAAAAATGCGATTTTAGAATTAAGGTTTGCTCGATTACAACAATCTTCCAGATTTGCACACAGTTGTCCTAGTGAAAAGAGGCAGTAATAGTAGAAATTTTTTTTGTCATTTATCTAGCTTTATTCATTCGACACCCTTAAAGTATCTTTAAAGTATTCGCTAGCTTGATCATACTTCAGTGTTCATATGGTCTATGAGAAATTTAGCAAACCATTGTGGTTGCTTAGCCTGGCGTAGAGACCAGAAATGGGTCATCAACCACTATATCATATGGTTCCCATCCAATTGACCGTTCAAAATCAAGCTAAGGATCTTTCTACACCCTTTTATGGCATAAATATAGCAAGCGTGAAGGGTAGTCTAGCTTCGTTACAACCGTAGTTAACGATTTTTTCTTATTTAAAAATAAAGTGTGTTATATTTTTTTCATAATATCGAAAATTGCGGCCGAAAGCATCTTGGATTTAAGCTAAACTGGCGTTCATATAAGACCTTGAAAAAAAAATTTCGTGAAAAATAAGTGAGTGTACGTAGAAATAAATGTTATCAATATACTATTAAAGAATTTTCTTTTGCTTATAGTATTCATTGAAAGCATAGAAAAATTTTGGCAGTGTACTGTTCAGTACTCTCTCAGTCTTTGCTTTTGAGTTTTGCAGTTGCAGGTTGTCTACGGATGGCATAATTGTGGCTAGTCTGGCATGTAAAGCGAAATTCATTATTGTTTCAATACATATACAGTCTCATTTATAGACAGACACATATAAAGTTATTTGTGTAGGACCTTTTGCCTCAGGTAATGCCTTATCTAAAAGCAATTTCAAT